AAATAAAACAAAAATATTGGTGGTAATTTTTGACTGTATAACTTTACAAACAGCACCCCATAAACACGATCAGTGTACAAAACATTAAAAATTCAGGCTGTTGCTTACAATTCTTAACCCCTCACAATCTTTTCAAACCAGAAGTGTTCGATCTTTGTCCACAAATGCCACTATCCTGCATGTTTAACAGGCTTCAACAATCATGATTTGAATGAATGGGTGATTAATGGGCTTCTGCAGAACGTGAAAAGTTAATCCAATCACTTAATCAGGTGAGTTGGAGCAGAGAAACGAGTAAAACATGCAGGTTAGTGACCCTCGAGGACCAGGGTTGGACACGGCTTTTCTAGACCCCCATGGTCTTGGCCCTATAGGCTACGTTCACACTGCAGGTGTTAATGCTCAATTTTTTTGGCGAGAACGTTCACATTACATTTTAAATGCGACCTCCATCGGACTCCAGTGTGAAGTCTACACAGCACCCACATGCACAGAAAAGACATGATGCCACATTCAGCTCTCCTTAACAGAGTCGGCTAAACATGCTACTAGTAGCTTATTGATTCTGAAGTTGCTGTTCATTTCAATCAGCTCTGCCTGATTAAATWAATATCTGATGCTTGTTTAGTTCAGTGTTTATATCTGAACCTGCCTCTGACCGTTTGCTCCAGTGAAACATTTTATTTTTGGAGCAAAATGCTGGAATTAAAGTGTCGAACTTTAGGATCTATATGGTTCGCGGCTCATGTTGGACGTTAAAACGTCAGATGTAATGCGACACGAGCGTTCACACTGCAGTCGCTTTGAAAAACATCAGATATGTGTCTGATTCAGTCCCACATGCTGAAAAGGCCTGGGTCGGATTATAAAAAGCCTGATTTGTCGCATTCAGGCTGTCATAAAAAACAGATATGGGTTGTTTTTGCCTGCAGTGTGAACGTGACCCCAGTCTCTTGTTGGAGGATACAAGTGGACTCTAAAAAGCTAGGACGAGCTCTCTGGAGTGCTTTAAATATTGTGTTGTTGCACTATTATATATTTTTCGGATTATACAATTATTTGTGTGTGTTTTTATTGTGTTTGATGTGAAGCACTTTGACTTTGGTTTTAAAAGGTTTTATATAAATACTTACTTAGAAATACAGTTGAAAAACTCAAGATGGTGACAAGTTTAACAGCGAGAGCTGAAATCTGTGCAGTGAAACCCAAGGATGAAGGTCTTAACTGTGATTTGTCTTACTGAAAAGTGACGGAGAAGGTTCCTCAGCTGGAGCTGAAAATCCCGATAAACTGATGAACAGCTTTGTCRTTCATCCAGTCCTGATACTTTTTTGTGTGTGCGGATCCACCGTTGGTATTATCACCCTCCTACCCTTTGCCTCCCAGCTTCGATCTCGGACACGTTTCCACGGTTGGCTTCAACCGGCGCTGCAGTTGGCAAACTCTGGGGCGAGGGTTTCAGAAATGGATTATCTGAGCAGGCCTTTGGGTCCGGTGGCTCCAATCCCACAAAAGCTGCAGAACTAAGTACTATTGAACTTTAGCTGCCAGTTTGAACCCTTTAGCTCTCTTATACTTTTAGTTTTCTGCTGCTTTCATTGACTGCAGGTGCGTCACACTGGATGTTGGCTTTAAGCAGATCTTTGAGGAGCTCAATAAATATTTTACTCTTAATCACTTAAAAAAGGTGATTGTGCTTTTATTTCAACTTTACTGGGGTTCTTTATAACTGGAACTTTGTCTTTTCATTGTTTGCAGCTGGAAAGAAATGCAGCCGCTGGTGTTSAACAGGAACAGAAATGTGTGATCGTATAACACCAGTGCTGGCCTCGCTCCATCTGCTTTTTCTTTCTGGCAAGGATGCTTCTTGGATTTGAACACTTGTTTTTTTAAAAATCTGACTGTTTTGGCTCCACCTAATCTAGGCAGGGTTTTTACATTTTGTTGTTTAGCAGATGCTTAACCTGAAGCAACTTACAAATTACACATTAGACACTCAAATTTAGATTAATGAGGGTTTTACTGACAAGACCAGGGTTGTAGCACAGGTATATGCCGTATAACCWTCTTTTGGATTTGCGTATCACCACTTAAAATAAGCAGAAATACATATCAAGCTGCAGTTTAGCGCATATTCTTAAAAAAACTGGTGGTGTGGCAATATTCTAACTGTGCATGGACGGGCTCAGTTCAATGCCTCAACTCTGTCGAGTATAAAACTAGCTTAAGGTCCTGTCCCACTATGTCACCTTATGAAATGTTTTTTCCCCTTAAATGACTAATAAAAGTTAGATATTTGATCAATTTGTTAGCATTACAATATGTACATGCCTAAAAGAATCTCCCCATTGATTATTTTAATTCCATCTTCAACGTAGATGTCTCCAAACTTTTCATAAGATGGCATAGGTTGTCTAAAACAGTGGTTCCAAAACTTTTTATCTTCTGACCCACAAAAAAATCCATGGCTAAAACTTGTGACCCCAAATATTACTGGTCTGAGTACACGAACTTCGTTAATAACCCTAAAAACACAGGCTTTTTGACAATCTAAACAGCTTGTACACAAA